CCACTGGCCCCATCGCTCATGGAGGCCTGGGGGGCTGGGGGGCTGGGGGGCTGCAGCAGGAAGCCGCCTGGAGCTGGGCCAGACCCAGAATCCAAGACTGAGCTCGCCTCAGCCCCTCCCAGAGGCCCGGCTCCCGGGGCGGGAGGGGTCACACCTTGCAGGGGTCCCAGCCCCCGGTTCCGGCCAGAGGGCCCAGCACCCCAGGTGCTAGACAGAGACCCAGAGGTAGGAGGTAGCATCTGTCCGGGCATTGCGGGTGTCGCTGGCGGGGAGGGCCGCAGGGGAGGCTGCCCACCAGGGAGGGGGTGCGGTGGTCGGTGGGCAGCACAGTGCAGCCTCCACTTGTGACCCACACTGTTCCCGTTCCCAGGCTCCTCTGCGCCTCAGTGTGCCTGGGCCCCAGGGCTGGAGGGCCGAAGCTCCTCAGTGCGCGCTCCACTTTAAGAGAAAGAGCGTGAGGTCAGGCACAGGGCCTTGGGGAGACCCCGAGACTAGTGCTCCCGCGCCCTCCAGCGGGGGGGTCGCAGCCACGTGAGAGGAAGGCAGGCGGGCGGCACACAGCGAGGGCTGCACAGGCACCAGCGTCGCGGTGTGCCGGGGGCACACGCCTGCACATGCACGTTTTGACCACGTGTGCGTGTGCTCATTCGTGCACACGTGTGAACACATGTACACTCACCGCACATGCACATTTAACATGCATGTGTGTACAAACCTGAATGCAAGCCTGCATGTTCACTCGTGCAAGTACCCGGACACACTCGACACACAACATGTGTGCACACGTATGCATGAACACACACCCATGCACGTGTACACACTCACGTGCATGGTATTTTGCATGTGTGCACGCACATGTGTACGTGCACGCATATGCATAAAGAGCTTTGGTATTTGTGATACGCGGCCTGGTGGGGGCAGGCCCGAGTCAGGGGCACCCTGCACCCAGGTGCCTGCCTTCCCAGAGCGCCCCGTGGGTGGGGGGAGGCCGCGGGGAGAGTCTGTGGGTGGCCCGGGTCTCTGCAGTGGTCAGCTGTGAGCAGGGCAGCAGCGCGGCGCCAGCCCAAGCCCGCGTCCCTCGCCCCACTCACCAAGGGCCTGGAGCCAGAGGGGGCCTCTGCACCACCTCCGAGGGAGGGAGCCCCCCACCAGCCCAGAGGAGATGCTTCTGTTTGAGTCCAAGAATAAAAGGCATTCAGATTATTTTGGCACAAGCCAGTGTCGTGGGTCAAGGTCAGAGCCGCCACAGCAGGCCACGGCCCTCCCTGCAGAGTATGGGCCTGGTCCCTGGGGCCGTGGGAAGGCCTGGACGGGGCTCCTCCAGGCAGCAACATCCCCCAGAACGGGGGGCTTCATGGACCCACGGGCTCAGCCCAAGCAAGGCAGCCCCGATTTCCAGGACATCCATAATCCTGGCATCCCATAATGCCATGCTGTCCGTAAGGACTGGGCCCCGGAAGACGTACTAGTGTGTGGCCAGGGTGTCGGCATGTCTAGGAAATCCAGAGCTGGTCTCTGACCCCGTGAACTCAGGGTCAAGGACGCAACAAGACAGTGGCACCGGCTGGAGGCAGCCTCCCTGGCCCACCACGGACCAAGCACATGGGAACAAGTACTGGCAGGACTGGCCTGGGCGCTGGGGTGGCCTGTTCTCGGCCACAGCTGACCGAGGGGTGGGGCCCCCTGAAGACAACGGGGTCCCAGACAAATATTTAAAGTGATGAGAATATCCTCACGATTCTCTAAAATATTGAGCCCAGAAAGAGCTTTTCTTTTCTTTTTTTTTTTAATTTTTTAACATTTATTTATTTATTTATTTTTAATATTTTTATTTATTTCTAGAAGAGAGAGAGAGACAGCGTGAGCAGGGGAGGGTCAGAGAGAGAGGGAGTCAAAGACTGAAACAGACTCCAGGCTCTGAGCTGGCAGTCAGCACAGAGCCAGACGCGGGGCACGAACCCACGAACCGCGAGATCATGACCTGAGCGAAAGTTGGACGATCAACCGACTAAGCCACCCAGGCGCCCCTAACATTTATTTTTGAGAGACAGAGAGAGCGAGCATAAGTGGGGAGGGGCAGAGAGAGGGGGAGACACAGAATCTGAAGCAGCTCCAGGCTCTGAGCTGTCAGCACAGAGCCCGACACGGGGCTCGAACCCACGAACCGTGAGATCATGACCTGAGCCGAAGTCGGACGCTCAACCGACTGAGCCCCCCGGGCGCCCCAAAGCTTTTCTTTTATTACATGATGTTTCACCTTTTTACACAATACTTTTTGCAGAATGAACGTATCTGGTAACACCTCGTTTTACAATAATAGCGTATATTTGATGCGTATAGTTCCACAAATCCACATTTTTGCTCACTTTTGTGAGACGTGTGAACGTTTGCATACTTCAGATGTGGAAGGTAGTTCATTTCTTGGATCCTCCCTGGTGAACCGTGGACACCACTGAGATGCTCTGCTGTTCGGGCGTCGCAGGAACTAAATACAAGCCACCACTGTCACAGGGATGACGGTCCCCCCCGGCCGGGACCTAACCCTAACCCTGTCCTTCCGCCTGGCGGGGACGCGCCTGCACCGGCCTCACTGGGGTCTGAGCCGCACGGTTAGACCCACTTTGATCTCTGCGCAGACAGAAGCCTGGGACGGGCTTCGTGGACCCACGAAGGGAGGGTCAGCCACGCCCTGCGGTCCGGGCCACCAGCTTCCCCGACCCAGGGAACCTGTCCCCTGCTGCCCCCACCTCCTCTCCCTGCCCTGGGACCTCGCCCCTGACACACTTCAAAACCCTGTTCTTCCTCAAGCTCTTGATAACACAGAAATCAAACTCTTCTTTTTCTGATTTTAGGGGCATCCGGGGGGCTCAGTCGGTTAAGCGTCCGACTTCGGCTCAATTCATGATCTCGCAGTTTGTGGGTTCGAGCCCCGCGTCGGGCTCTGTGCTGACAGCTCGGAGCCTGGAGCTGCTTCGGATTCTGTGTCTCCCTCTCTCTGACCCTCCCCTGCTCACGCTGTGTCTCTCTGTCTCAAAAATAAATAAACATTAAAAAAAATATTTTAAAATCGCAACCATGGGGGCGCCTGGGGGGCTCAGTTGGTTGAGTGTCCGACTCTTGATCTCGGCTCAGGTCATGATCTCACGGTTTTGTGAGTTCGAGCCCCGCACCTCACTCTGCTGACAGCGAGGAGCCTGCTTGGGACTCCCTCTCTCTGCCCCTTCCCTGCTCTCTCTGTCTCTCTCAAAATAAATAAATAAACTAAAAAACTTAAAATTGCAACCATCATTTTTTAAAAGAGGAAGAGTAATGCAATGAACTGCAACATTTTAGACATTTATGAGGAAATAAATTTTCTTTTGTTTTTAAATTCTTCCATTTTCTGATAAGACAAACCTCCCTGAATATGTTAAACTCTGAGAAGTCTAATGAATTAAACTGGTAAATAGAGAAAAGCTTTTAAATTCTCTTAAAATTCCAGGGCTGTTCACAAATTTACTAAAGTCCTATTCAACTTAAATTTACAAATCTGGGGGCGGCTGGGTGGCTCAGTCGGTTAGGCATCCGACTCTGGATTTCATCTCGGGTCATGATCTCACAGCTCGTGGGTTCAAGTCCTGCACCGGGCTCTGTGCTGACAGCTTGGAGCCTTCTTGAGATTCTCTCTTCCTCTCTCTCTGCCCCTCCCTCACTCATGGGCGCTCTCTCTCTCACTCGAAAATAAATAAACTAACTTAAAATAATTACAAATCTGAATCATTTATTAAAATTTTAAAGCATGAGCCTAGTCTGTTGAATAATCTAATGCGACAAAGTCTTTTAAATATACAGCAAGTACTTAAAACACCGAACCCAGAGCAGTGATTTCTAAATTTAACAACACGACGTGCACAGGATGGTTTTGCTTTCCTGGGTCATCTCTGTGCTTGATGCCCATTCTCAAGGGGACAGAGACAGTTACTCACCAGGGAAATGACGGGCTGTGACCCCCCACCTCCCTGCGAGTGACCTTTCTCATGATCCACCCGGCCGAGCTTTTTATAACCACGACGCAACGGGCTCCAGACCTAAAAAGGGCGGCTCTCACAGCCCGTGCCTGTGGGTTTAAATCCGGTCAGCATTCAGGGCCCCCCGGGAAGTGCACGCTCAGACCGGAGCCACAGGGCCCAGCCGCTGGGCCTCCGCCACGTGGCCAAGATGTGGTTGTCGTGAGCCACCGGGAGGCTGGGCTTGTCTTCTCTGCACGCTTCTCGCTGCTGGAAGCATCTCCCCAGCTGGCGCTGCAGACGCCCGAACGCCGCCCGCGCCGTGGGTGGGCCCCAAGCGGCTCTTGGACGTGGGTCCCTCTGTCTCCCCCCACCGCGGGTAGGCGGGCGGGCCACCAGCATCGAGCTCCACCTCTGCCCTTGGCTGGAAGCCGGGCTAAATGTAGCCACACACAGTATCTGGGTACAAGCATGAACCCCAAACTCGCATGCCCCGCGTGACAGCCGCACAGCTCCAGAGTTCAGGGACGGCTTCCCGTCCAAGGCACGGGCGACGGGCTTGTCGGGAATCACAGCACCTCAGCCCAGTGAGGCTCGGAGAGGCCCCACACGGAGCGTGTTCCCCAGAGGTCAGGCTGGGACCCTGGGACCCTGTGGATGACTGTCTTGCTTGGGTCACAATCACCTGTTTGCCCCCCCTCCTTCCTGAGCCCCCCAGAAGTCTGACCACCTCTCTCTCGTCTTGCGGCTGCAGCCGGTGAAAGTGCTTAGCCTCGTTCTGGCGAGGGCCACCCCTGCCTCCAGCACCAGCGGTCCCCACGGGCCGTGACCACGAGGTGACACCAGGAGACAGCGACGTGCGGGACTTGTCAGCGCCGGCTGACGGACACAGAAACTGGGGCCAGAAGCGGGTCCTGCCCCAGCGGTGACGGCTCCGTGACGTTGGCTTTGGTGGAGAGAAAGTTCTTCTCGGGGGCTGGAAACGTGTCGGGTCACGACAAAATATTTCCTAAAATGATGCCTGGGACAACCGAGAAGGCAGACCTGCGTGGAGGCAGCGTGTGGCTCCCGGTGAGGACGCTCTGGGGCGGGTCCGCGGGGGACAGTGGGCTTTGGCTGATGGTCCGGGAAACACGGCTCACGGAGCTGATGGCCTGTTCACGCGCGGCCGCGGCGGGGGAGGGGCACCCGACTGCAGGGTCAGAAGGTGCAGTTCTTCCTCATGGGGACAAGGGAGAGTCAGATGAAGACCCAGCCTGGGGGGGGTGCCGCCTGGGGGGGTGCTGCCTGGGCGGCTCAGTCGGTTGAGCGTCCAACTTCGGCTCAGGTCATGATCTCACAGTTCGCGGGTTCGAGCCCCGCGTCGGGCTCTGTGCTGACAGCTCGGAGCCTGCATCCTGTTTCAGATTCTATGTCTCCCTCTCTCTCTGACCCTCCCCTGCTCACACTGTCTCTCTCTCTCTCTCTTTTTCAGAAATAAATAAAACATTAAAAAAAAAAAAAAAGACCCAGCCTGGGAACAAAGCCCAAATCGGGGAATGGGCATCATGGCTTTTGCGGGGGCCGCTGTGGGGACGGAGGGGGGGGCAGAGGGGTGCTGGGGCGGCTCGGCAGGTTGAGCACCTGACTCGTTATTTCAGCTCAGGCCTTGAATCCAGGGTCACAAGATTGAGTCCTGAGTCGGGCTCTTTGCTGACCGTAGAGCCTGCTTGGGACTCTCTCACGCTCTCTCTCTCTCTCGCTCTCTGTTCTCCCCACCCCCCAAATAAATAAAACAATTATTTTAAATCTAAAGAGGGAACACATCTAGGAAAGAATGGGGGTTGTGGCTCTGGGAACATGGAGCTGCATCAACTCAAATACATTTTTTTTAAAGATTTAGACAGTAGGCTCGGCCACCAGCCTGGATTAACCACTAAGGACAGAAAACAACCGTTAGCCCCAACCTTTCCACAGTCGGGGAACAGATGAAGGAGGCTCCTCAGCCACCAGAAGGGTGATCTTCTCAAGGTCCCCACAGTGTGTCCCGGAGGGAACCGGAAACAGGGGCGTCTCCCGGAGCGGGAGAAGGAACCCAGAGCGCACAGGCTCAGCTGCTGTGCCGAGGCCACTGGGGCCCAGCACGTGGCTCAGTGGTCCCCACACAGGCCTCGGGGTCCGGAAGCCATGTCCAGGCATAACACGCATCACCAGAGGCTGGATTTTGAGCTCGATGCCTTCAGGGGCTGGAGCGTGTTGTGTGCACGTCAGAGAAGCGAGCGCGTGACCAAATGCGGGGACAGGAGGTGTTCCCTGCATCGCTCGCTCCCCGCCAGCCATGCCCTGCTTCCCTGGGGGGCAGCCTCCTGGCCCGGGGTCTGGGTGCAGCCACGGGATGTCGGGGGGGCGGGGAGCACAGCCGTCCACGGCCCCAGTGGGTGCCACTGACACGCACGTGCAGGACTGGCTCTGCCCCTTGGGTCGCCTCCCCCTCCATCAGTTTCCTGAGGCTGCTGCAAAAATTGTCACAAAGGTAGTGGCTCAGAACAGCCACAATGCGTTCTTTCCCCGCTCTGGAGCCCAGAAGTCCAACCGGGTGTCACGGGGCTAAAATCAGGGTGCCGGCTCCCCCTGGAGGCTCCCGGGCGGGCAAGAGGTGTCTGGGTCCCAGCTCGCGGCCCCACCTCGGCCACCGCGGCCGGCGGCAGCTTCTCCCTCCTCGACTCGGACCCGCTGCCCCCAGAAGACTCGGCCACGGCGTTGGGCCACGTGTACGAGGCAGGTGCCCGCATCTCCGGGCCCGGCTCCTGGTCACCCGGCCGCTCCCACTGCACAGGCCCCGCGCGCCCTCCGCGGAGCCGGCCTCCTCATCCCGCCCACCGCACCTCGGTGGGACCCTCGGGGCCGGAGGGGCTCGGCCTCCGGCTTGGGTCTGGGATGAGAAGGGGGGGCCCCTGAGCTGGGCTGACCTCAGGGCCCGGAGGAGCCACAGGCGCCTGGCGACCCTGGGTAGCAGCAGGGACACAGAGGACGCAGTGCTTGGCAAGCGCAGCTCCCAAGTCCAGGTGAAGAAATGCTGTTATTAACACATTTAAGTGTCGCAGCTCTTCTAGCCACTGTCCCGAGCGCTTTTCCCACATCGCTTCCCAGGACTCCACCCCCACGGTCCTTCCCTCCAGGCAAGGAGGGTGAGAAGAAGCCCGAGACGCCCCCACACACCTGTCTGGAGGCCGGCGGGGTGACAGTTACAAAGGTAACATTGTCATGAAAGGGGACCCTAGGCAGGGCCTCGGACCAGAAGCCTGGGGTCCACGTCCCACCCCCGCCAGTGGTTTCAGCCCCGGCCTGTCACCTGTGCGGCTCTCTGGGGGGTCCCCCCTCTGTGCTCCCCGGCTCTGGAGGCGGGGGCTGGGAGGCGGGGGTTGGGAGACCGGGCTGGGGGGGGGGCTGGGAGGCAGAGCCAGCCTGCGGGGTCAAAGGGCGTGAGCCACACTTGTTCCACACTCGTCTCTCCCTCCCCTGCCCAGGACGAGGGGCTCCTTCTCAGCCCTGCAAGCCACACAGCCGTGCTGAGCGCCCCCCCCGCCCCCGCAGAAGTGGGAAGGTTTTCCCAGTGGGACCTGCGTCTTTCAGGACCTCCGAACAGCACCCCTGCTTGGACTCTGTGTCCTCCTTGAATGGGAGCCAGGGCCCGCCCCCCTTTGCCCTGCACCCTGGGGGTTATGGGGAGGAAAGGCTGCAGGAGGGGTGGGCGTCAGCCAGACCCTGGGCCCCTCGGAGAAGCACCCCGCAAAGCGGCAGCCGCACCCTCAGGGGTCAGCGCTGGCGCGGAAGCCAGGCCGCCTCCTCCAGGCCCCCCGCAGCGATGGCACCTTCTGGAACTATACAGGCCCCCCCCCCACATCCCACTCCCCCCACCTTTGCCCCCGGGGCCACAAGGAGGTGGCACTGAGCAGCTGTGTCACTCACCCCCCCACACGCACCTGTGGGGTCTTTGCAGGGAGGGGGTGGGAGGGTGATCCTCACCACAAGAAAGCTGGCCAAGCGGGACGGGGGCAGGGCCACCGTGGGGGGTGAGGCCACGGGGACAGGCAGCCTCCCCGTGGCCGCAGGACCCACGCCCAGGAGACGGCGGTGGGTGGGGTGAGCAGAGGCGGGAGAATAAAGGGGCATTTGTGTCCCCGGAGCACAGGGAACAGACTGCCGGGGAGCTGCGTCCGCGGCCGCCCCCCCTGGAGGCTGGGCCTTGTTTTCAGCAGGCTCTGCCCTGGCGAGGGGTCGGAGCCCGGCCCCAGCCGTCACCGGGGCTGTCGGCTGCCCGGGCGCAGAAAACAGCAGAAAACGGAAGCCCTGCCACAAACTCCTGCCCCCTCGGGGCCGTGGGCCCCCGCCTCACTCTCCCCTGCAGCTCGGCCCAGGCGAGAGCCCTCGCGCGGTGAGGCAGCTGCAGCAGGGGGCACCCCCCCCACACCAGCAGGGCCCGGTGCCCTCGGACGCAGCCCCCAAACCGCATCCTGGGGGGTCTGCCTTCTGGGGCCCCCTTGGCCGGGGCTCCCCGGACAGCTCAGGGAGGCTTTGGGGCTGTGGTCTCACCAGGGAGAGCAAGACAGGAAGTCGTGGTGACCGGGGGTCGGGGGGAGGGATGGGGGTAGAGCAAAGCCCCCTCCCCCACGGCCCCCCCAAGTATACCCGGTCTGAGGGGCCCTCACAGCTACCTGTGCTCACAGCCTTCCCTTGTGCAGGAGGAAAGGAGAGGGGTCACCCCCTGTCCCAGTGTCCCTGGTGCCCGGGTGCTCACGTGCTCACAGGCCACAGCGGCAACCCGAGGGTGCCCTCGGCGCCGGGAGGTGCGGGAGCGCCCGCGGGCCGGAGTGGGGGGCAGAGCGTCTGGGTGGAGCAGGTCCCTGTCGGGTCTGGGCCTCGCCCAGGGCAACACCCCAGGTGGCGTCACCGCTGATGGAGCGGCCAGGGTGACAAGGAGACCCCGTCACCGTCCGCCGGCGCCGTGCCAGCAGCTCAGCTGACGCTCCGGCCGACGGGGACGCACAGTCGGCACAACCCCACGCGGTGAATCCGCCGGCACCAGCGGCGAGGTGGCTCCTGGCGCCGGGACGCCGCAGCGACGGGGGACAGAATCAACGAGGAGAAGCCCAGAGCTGCCGTGAGCGCGACGCGGCCCCGTGGGGCAAGATGCCCGCGGGAAACGGGAACAGAGAAAAAGATGAAGCAGGTCAGAGTGAGTCAGAAACGTGGGAGATCTCTCTGGAAACGCAAACCTTCCTAAATTAATCCATAACTGTAAGAAACCTCCTAAAAGATACCACTAGCTTTTTATCAGAACCAATCAGATTCTAAAAGTTTTTTAATGTTTTATTTATTTTTGAGAGAGAGACAGCGTGAGCGGGGGAGGGTCAGAGAGAGAGGGAGACACAGACTGAAACAGGCTCCAGGCTCTGAGCTGTCAGTCAGCACAGAGCCCGATGTGGGGCTCGAACCCACGAACCGCGAGATCACGACCTGAGCGAAAGTCGGACGCTTAACCGACTGAGCCAGCCAGGCGCCCCCAGATTTTAAAATTCATGTAGAAAAGAAAACCTGAGAGTGGCCGACACGGACGCCCAGCTGGCTGCACAGCCCGGGGGCTCACCCCGGCTTCTTCACTTCGTGATGGCTGGAAAATAACAAAAGGGAGACTAGTCTTGGGTGCCACCTGGACATAATGGGATGTGAGCGTCAGCAGCCATAAATAAAGTTTTATTGGCACGCAGCCACGCCCCCTGGCTCCCATTCACGGGTGCTGAGTGCGTGGGCAGAGCCACCCTGGCCGGAAGTCACCGCTTACTCCTGGGCCAGCACGCGGCCAGACTTAACCCCACCCCCGGGGCTTGGACGATGGTGCTCATGGCGACGGGTCCCTGCCCTGCTGAGCTGACATTCCAGCCAGGGACGCAGACGGTCAAATGCACGATGGGGTGGCTTTGGGATGGGGGGCTGGAGAGCGCCTCTCGGAACAGACACTGAGCATCCCCAGCCAGCCACACCAGCGCCTGGGGGGGAGGGCGTCTGGGAGGCGGGACGTAACGCACCAGGGGTCAGAGAGGCGACCCAGGGCTGAGCAGACACCGCCGTCACCCCCTCCCGGGGCTGCTCTGCAGGAGCGGGGAGGTGTGAGGCAGGAGAAGCCGCACAGAGCCGGGCGCACGACAGGAGCTGGGTGACAGTCCCCTCTTTTGAGAGCGAGACCCACGTTTGGCTGAGCAGCTGTGGGTCCAAGAGGCCAGCAGGTGCAAACGCGGGTACTTTGCACGTGGCCACGACAGACTCCTTGATGCACTTCGCGGGGCGGGGCCCCCGGAGCCCTCCCTGCACGGACCCCGCCCTCAGCCTGGCAAGAAGCGTCCTCCCCGGGTCTCGTTACCTCCCGAGTGCCCCTTGTCCGGGCTGCCTCCCGGCTCGGCTGGACCCCTCACCCCTGCAATAGTCGGGAATAAAGGCTTCCTCACCGTTTTGACAGTCACGGTGACCTTTCTCTACAGCAGCCCCCGCCTGCCCAGCCAGGCCGAGTCCCCACTCCCCCGTCCAGCCCACCACCGCCCGAGTGTCCGGCCGGCCTCACGGGGGACAGCTCGCCGGGCACCCCGCCCTTCCTGCAGCTCTGCACCGGCCACGCGTCAGCCCCTAATAGCGCCCCGCTGGCGCACGTCACCGGGGCCGCCGGGGCCGCCGCACCGAGGGCACCCCCGCCCCAGGAGGGCAGCTCTGCCGACTTCATTAATCTAACGCTGGCTCGAGTGTCAAAGTGCACGCGATTTCTTGTAAAAATGATCTGGCTGCTAATTAGGCTGTTTATAACTTGTTCCCTGGTCACTAATGATAATTAACATGCAAATTAGCTTGGGGAGGGGAGGCTCTGGGACCCCAGTTCATTACCCCGTTAATTACTGTTTGCATACTTAAACATCACAGATACAAATGGCGGCATTTAGCGTAATGGGCAGGATGATAATTATACCAACGACATTTCGAAAAGTCATTTCGCTGTGTTATTTTTCTGCGTGATTGATGATTCCGTGCCTCGTTGATAAACTTCGTTTATTCAAACCAGAATAGGCTCTGTACACAAACCAGCCAGCAGGCACGGCCCATTAACCTCCGCGCCCTCCCCTGCTGGCTCCGAAGCTTCAGAGAAAGGGGAAGGCAAAGGAGAAAGTTGAGTGGCTTTGGGGGAAGGAACTTTCCAAACTTCCCTCCCTCCTTCCTTCCTTCTTTCCTTCCTTTCTTCCCTCCCCCTCCCTCCCCCCCTTCTTCCTTCCTTCCCTCTCTCACTCCTTCCTTTCCTTCCCTCCTTCCTTCTCTCTCTCCCTCCCTCTCTCTCTCCTTTCTTCCCCCCTCCTTCCCTCCCTCCCTGCCCCCCACCTGTCAGGCACCTGCTGAACAGCTACAGCCCAACCTTGCTCTCCTGGAGCCAACATCCCAGAAAACAGACAACATCAGGCAGGTGCACCGTGCCAGGTAGCAAAGCAGAGGAGGCAGCAGGGAGGAACAGGCAGCTGGTTTTGATGGGGGGGGGGGCGGTCAGGGAAGGTCTCTCAAGGAGGGAGGATTGAGCCCAGACCTGAAGGGAGTGAGAGAGGAAGTGTGGGGACGAGGAGCCAGCAGTGCAAAGGCCCTGGGGCAGGACAGGCTCGTGGAGGAACAGGTGGGGTTGGGTATATCGAGGGAGCCAGGATGGCTGGGCTGGGAGTCAGGTGGGGGCGGGTCCAGGCCCCAAGGGCAGGAGCTGTTAGCTTAGAGGGACCCCGGAAGCTCCCTGATAAAAACACCTGAAGAAGAGCCGTCTCCATTGGCACCAGGATGTCAACATCCCAAATCCGCTCCTCCCTAAACCGAGGCTTCACCCGCACCAGCGCCCCTGACGCAGAGACGGCCCTCGGCGAACTGCCATCCCTGTAACTGAGACCGAAACACCCAGAGCGACAGGTGGGCAGGTGGGTGAGGGGAAGATGGGGCGCTCCTCCCCCGCTGCATTATTGATCAGGAGATCCGGCAGGAGGAGCCGGCCCCGTGACAGGTGTGGCCTCCGCCTGCGGGTCGCGGGACAGGACTGGACAGCCAGGGACGGGCAGGGGCCCGGCCTGCGGGTGGTCGGCAGCGAGGGCGAAGCCCCCACACGCGAGGGCCTCCCCACAGGCTCCAGCGGACGCTGATATCGCCTGTTCGGCCACAGGGACCAGAAGCTGAAATTTCATCTGGTGACGACCAGCCCCCCCCCCGCCCCCCCCGCCACCGCCGTCCCTGGATCCCTGCTGGTGTCCAGCCACTGCGGCCACAGGTAAGCCTCTCAGGGTGAAGCATGAGCCCGGAGGCAGGGGGCCCCGGTGGGCTCACGCACCCTCGGACAGCACCCTGGGGCCCCCGGGAGGCCGGGTGGGTGCTGCGCCCAGAGAAAGGACCGGGGCCCCGCATGGCTGCCCAGCCAGGAGGCGCTCCTGAGCGAGGGGTGCTCAGGGGTGTTGCTGAGGGTTTCCCTCTTTAACTGGGGCTGTTGGTACCCAGGGGGAGGGGTAAGGCGTCAGGCGCCCCCAGGGAAGCTCCCAGGGGCACAGCCCGGCTGTGTGGGGCTCCCCACACCCCTGTGCCGGGAGGGAGGCCCAGCCCGCTTACCTCCAGGGTCCTGCTGACCATCTGCCCGTGGTGGCAGGTCACAGGCTCCCGGGGGGGCCTAGACTGGTCTCCTCGCTGCCTCGGAGCCACTGTTCCCTCCCACAGCGGGGTCTGCAGGCAGGGGTGGGGCCGGACGGGACGGGGCGCTGGCTTCCAGGCCCAGTGCTGGGATGGGACCTGCCCAGGGGGAGCGCCCTGGGCAAAGGGTTTGCCAAGGTTCCTGTACGAGGTGGAGTCTGAGCTGGGGGAGTGGCCGATGAGCTCCAGACAGGCCCGGGGTGAGCGCCTTGTCCCCCAGCAGGGGCCTCGCTGCTCTAGGCGCCCACACTCGGGCCCAGGAGCTCCCCCCCCCCCCCCCCCCCCCCGCCACCTCGCTCGAAGTGAAAGCCACAAACCTGTAAGGTCAGTCCCAAGGCCAACATCAACAGTCCCCGCCCCTGAACTACTTCTGTTTCCAAATTCTCTGCCAGGCTTCTGCTCACACCTAAGTAAATTCTGGTAACGGCGCTCAGAGCTCCCTTTCCAGATGGTGGGTTTTGTCCCCGAGTCGGGCGTGACTAGAACGGCATCGAGAGCAGGGGCCAGGACGTGGGTGCCTGCGTCCCTCAGAGCTGCCTCTCGTGGCTGTTTCAGGGACAGCAGGGGTCCTGGAGACCCCTCCCTCCCTGTCCCGGCCGGGTCTGATAAACGGGGGTCGCCTCTGGGCGGGCAGGGGGAACAGCCCCTGGGGCCCCGTTCCCCTCGGGCTCGTGATGACACTTGCGGGCTCCTCACGGCAAAAGCTGTGGCCGAGCCGTGGACTGCCCTCGGGGACACCGCCTGTCCCGTCTGGCGGACACGGCAGCACAGGGCTCCGCCTGACCCTGCTCAGAAGCAGCAAGACCCCTTTCTCAGGAAGTCAGCTTCCTTTGGAATTCAGGTCACACACGTGCATTCGTGACCCCTGCTCCTGGCCCCGTGTCCGGACTCGCCCGCCCCGCGGCAGGAGGCAGGTGCCCCGGGGTTAGCCGCCGTGGCCACGGCTCGTGCGCCACTGAGATCCCCAGGATCGTGTGGCCTGCGCCTGCGGGCACATGTGCAGGGGGAGAGGCAGGGGGCCCCGCAGAGCTGATGTGCCGCCTGCACGCCCCGGGCCCCGCGCGGCCCCCCGTGACAGCCCCGCTCCTTTATGGCTTTTGCCTAATGAGGGTAATTTCAGTGAAAGCAATCAGAGCAACGGGAGATCTCTTCATAAACTGTCACCACCACGTTCGCCCGTGGCTCGGGTGCTGTGCCCTTGTGACAGCTGGGGAGACGGGCCCCCGGCCACGCCTGCCTGCCCCCTGCAGACCCTGCCTCTGCCCGCAGCGCCCTCCCTAATGGGCCGACAGGCCACATCCCAGGCCACGTCCCCGAGACACGACAGCCCCCACCCCCGGGGCCCCTCCACCCGGCCTCCGTCAGAGGCGCCCCCACCGGATCCCCTGGGCCGCGCAGGGGAAGCTGGGTTTACCTGGCCTCGGAGCAAGAGGCCCGGGGAGAGGCCCTCGCCCAGAGCAAGAGTATCTCTCCAGGGACAGGCAGGTCACCTACTGCCCCGCACTGTCCTCCCTCCACCAGCCGCCCGTGGGGGGCTCAGCATCCCAGACCTTTGCTTCCAGCTCCTGGGGCGGGGGGGGAGGGGGGGGATGGCGGGGGCGGAGGCGGTTCCTAGAGGAGCACCTTCCTCAGCGCAGTCAGGGTGACCGGGCCGGGCAGGCTCAGGCGCCGCCCCTTACAACCGCCGGCCTCTCCGCAGGCAGGTCGGGCCCGCTGCTCAGCACAGGTGGCCGGGCCAGACCCGGGGAGCCCGCGGAAAGGGGCTGGATGTGCAGAAAGGGTCCGCCTGCAGCAAGTCGGCGACAGCCTGCGGGGACACCCACCGGAGCCCAGCGGCAGGGGGCCCCCAGAGCCCGCTTCCACAGAAGCCCGCGGGAAGAGGGGTGGCGAGGAAGGGGCCCAGGCAGGGTGAGTTCTGGGTGGCAAGACCCCGGGGTCTCCTCCGCAGAGCCCCCTCCTCCTCTGTGAGGGCGGTGAGGATGCGCCCGGCCCGCAGCGGCCCGAGCCCCACCTCCCACAAACTCGGGTTCTCCGTTCGGAGGCTGCCCGGACCCTGACCCTGCCAAGCCGGTCAGCCTTCCTGCTGCCCGACCCTTCCCCGGCCGCGGCCTGGGTGTGGGGCGGGGCAGGGCGGAGCCAGGGGCGGGGCCTGGGGCGGGGCGGGGTCAGGGGCGGGGCGGGGCCGGGGCGGGGCCGGGGCCGGGGGGGGGGCCGGGGGCGGGGCGGGGGCAGGGGCGGGCCGGGGCCGGGGGCGGGGCCGGGGCCGGGGCCGGGGCCGGGGGCGGGGCCGGGGCCGGGGGCCGGGCCGGGGCCTGGGTGGGGGCGGGGGCGGGGGGCGGGCGGAGTCAGGGGCGGGGCCGGGGTCCGGGGCGGGGCGGGGCCGAGGGGCGGGCCGGGGTCCGAGGCGGGGCGCGCCCGGCCGCTGGGGGCGCCGCTGAGCAGCGGGGAGGTCGGGTGTTGACTTTCTCCCGGGAAACGGACCCGGGCGCGGCGGCGGGGGGACGTCCCGGCGGCGCAGCCTGCGGACCCTCGGCCGCAGCCGCGCCCACCGCCCTTCCACGCGGCCGCGCGCGCCCTGCTCAGCCTCGGAGCACAGGCGAGTGTGCGTGTCTGAGTGCGTGTGGGCGTGCGTGCATGCGTGTGTGCCTGTGTGGGTGTGCGCGCGAGTGGTCTTTGTCGCAGGGTGCTTGTGCGGGCGTCTGTGTGTTGGACAACAGGTACTGGGTGGGGCTTGTGTGCAGGCGCTCCGGGACCCGAGAGAGAATGTCCCCAGGTACCCTAGTCAGGACTTCAGGTTGGGTTTGGGAAGGGGGGGGCAGGGGCTAGTCCCCAGGACCAACCTCAGAAGTGACCCCCTGGCTTGGGCCGCTGGGGCTCCCCACCCCCACTCAGGAGCCAGGCAAGCTGCCCAGAGCACCCACGTGGAATGGGGGCCTGGGGAGGTGGGCAGAGGTGTGACCTTGAGTTTGGGTGGGTCTCTGGAGATTCAGACAGCTGAGAAGGTGGCCTGTGTGACCAGGACAGGGAGGAAGTTGGGGTGTTTCACCCTCCTGAGGAGTCCTCTGCCAGGAGGAGACTGGAGGGGGGGGTAGAGTCCCTGACCCCCCAGGCCACTCGGCTCCTCACGTGGGTCGCTGAGCAGGGTAAGGGCCCCGTTCTGCAAAGGAATTGAGCCTGGCCTGGTGGACCCTCGCAGACACACCCAGCCCCACCCGACTTCACTGAAGGGTGCTCTGCACTGACACTTGGGTCTCAGTGGGGAAGGGTGCAGACTAACCACACCCCCACCCTAGGTGCCCGTGAGGACTGGGCACAGACGTGATGTCGCCCCAAGAGCTTGTGGCCTGCCTCTGCCAGGAGGGAGACCGGCACCTGGCCCTGGGAGAGCCCGCGCTGGCCACCGCCTTCTACCTGGCTGCCTTCAGCTGTCACGCCCCCTCGGCCGTGCAGAGCGTCCGCGCTGCCCTGGCGGAGGCGCGGGGGGCGCCCGTGGTGGCCACGCTCGAGGCCTGGTGCCGGGGCGACAGCCAGATCCCACCCATCCACTGGGACGGCATGGCGGTCGTCTCGCTCACGGGGACCCTGGCCTCTGCTTTCCTGGCCGCCCTCCGCCCGGACCACCCGGCCGCGGTCCTGCACTCCCTGGCCGGGCTGCTGGCGCGCGGGCGCCACGAGGAGGTGGTCGGGCGCTGCGGCGCCCTGCTGGGCACTCACGGGCAGCAAGCGCTGGAGCTGCATCTGACCCGCGCCCTGGCCCGCGTCCTGTCCGGGCGGTGGGTGGGCGCGGGCGTGGCCGACTATCTACAGGCCTTTGCCTCGAGCGAAGACCGGACCGTGGCCTTTGTCCGGACCCACCAGCGTCCCTACCTCCCCGTGCTGATCAGCACCCTCCAGGCCTACGTGTCAGGGCGCCAGGAGGCGGAGGGCGGCCCCGGCCGGCAGGAGACCCACTGCCAGGGACTCCTGGAGGCCCTGGACCCCGGGGGCGCCTGGAGCCACGCCCTGTCCCCGGAGGCCCTGCTCCGCAGCGGCAGGTATGAGGACTGCCGGGCAGCGTGCAGCCGGGCCCTGGAGCCTGACCTGGCGGGCAGCGGACCCCAAGGTAAGAGCATGGTTCTCGTCCCCTCCGTGCGGGGTGAAAGCCGCCCGGCCGAGCCTTCACAGCGTGCCTCAGGGCTGGTGATGGGGGGGGGGGGGGGGGGGGGGGGGGGGGGGGGGGGGGTCCAAGAGTGGGGACAAGATGGACAAGCCCCTGCCCTTACAAAGCACCCAAGAAAAGGAACAAATAACAAATGTGCTTTGAAAACTGGACCCTAAAAGGTGCTGCTCAAGCTGGGTGATCAGGGGAGGCTTCTTGGAGGAGGTATCATTTGAGTTAACACTGAAGGATTCCAGGCGGCAGAAACAGAACATGGCAGGTCCCTAAGAGAGAAAGAACTTGGGGTGTCCGTGCCACTGAATGGAGCCATAGTAGCCGTCAGGGGACAGGAGCGGGGGCGGGGCACTGAAGAGATAGCTGTGGCCAAAGCCCTGGGGGCCCTGAAGTGACTTTGAACTTTACCCTCAGAGCAGCAAGGAGCCATAGAAGAGTTTTAAGCTATGGAGCAACGTGCTCTAGGCTGCATTTTGTCTGCTGTGTGCAGAATGTGCAGGAGGAGCCAGAGTGACCACAGAAGATGTGAGAGGCTGGGAGGCTGGGGGAGGACCAGGCTGGGAGGAGCACTAAGAGCAGACGGGCAGGGGGGCACCAGGGGATGCTGGCACCCCCCGTTTGAGATACTGCTCTTCTCTGGTCCCTTTAGGTCCTCCTCCAGTGGGGGGCCTGGGGCAGCGGGTGGGCCAGTTCGTGAAGACCCAGGAGCCCCACACCACCCTACCCCAACCCCTCTAAGATCCCCCCTGGCTGTGCAGCCTCTCTGTGCCCCTCCCCATGTGCGCGCAGGGATGGTGGCTGCCCTCGCCTCTGAAGCTTGCTGTTGCAATTCAGTGAAAATATGTATCCAGCCCTGAAAATGGCATCGCCCATTAAGTGGTCAAAAACTTGTGCCGATCACGTGGACGTGGCACTTGGCAGCTGAGCACATGAACCTTGAGATGAGAGGGAGCTTGGTTTTAGGAAGGGGTTTCAGCATCCAACGCACAAAGAAGGGATTCAGAGCCAAGGGTCTAGACAGGGAGGCAGGGGGGCAGCCGGACCCCTAGAGAGTGGAATGCGGTGCTCGCTGAACACGAGGTGGCCAAGCTGCACTTCAGGTTTGATGTGCATTCTCACCTAGCGCACACAGCACCCTTGGGAGCCGATAGCGCTGCACCCCCCAGTGCTATGTTAGGAAGCTAAAGCAATGAGCCACGAGGCACACAGAGAGGGAGGCCCCAACCGTGGCCACCACCAAGCCCCCAGGCCTGGGAGTGAGGCCATCTTACACTTGCCCAGGCAAGCCACCAGATGACTGCAGACATGAGGGACCCCAGGTACGATCAACAGAACTGTTCAGCTCAACTCAACTCAGCCCAGACTGCGAGAGAATCACGGGTTCTTCTGGCTGTTGAAATGGTCATTGTTTTAAGCCACTAATTTTTGGGGTTGCTTGTTATACAGCAGCAGTAACTGATACAACTGCTGAGTCATGGCAACCATTCTTGATGTGTGTTCTAGACAAAGTTCAGAGTGAATACAGGAGTTACAAGTTCATGTTTCTGTAATAATATCATTCACTACCTTCATTAATGGAAGAAGAGCATATGATCATCGCAGTGAATTCAGAGGAGGCAATTTATAATATTTTTAACACAATTTTAACAAATTTAAAAACAAAGAATAGAAGGAAACTTACTTACTTGAGAAAGATACTATCTATCAACACCTTACCGAAATATCAACTTACTGGTTGGTAGAAGTCTTCTGTTTAAAGTCAAGAATGGGGTAGCTACCCCCTCTCCCATTTATTCGTGATTGTACTAGATATTCTAGCCAATGCAACAAGATAAAAATAAATAAAAGTCAGACCAGAAAGGAAGAAACAAAGTTATTCCAGACAATGTGATTAGCTATGTAGAAAGTCAACAGATACGGCAAAAATGTATTAAGTATAGGAACAGAATTTAACCGGAGCACAGAAAGCATTTATACTTATAGACACCAGCAACAAACATAAACTTTATAATTTTAAGATATACCATTTACCGTAGCAACAGAAAAGGATTGATTTCAAAGAGCCATAGAACTTTGTGGAAAAATTATAAAACTGTATTAAAAGACAATAAAGAATACCTGTATAAGTAGATATCCAATGTCCACTGTTAGAAAGATTTGATGCTATAATAGAAGAGAAAAAAAAAACACACAATAGTAGACAAGACAAAGAAGAAGAGAAGGGGAAGGAGATGAGCAGGAAGTGGGGGAGAGATGGGGGAGGGGAGACAGAAGGAGAAGCCGCAGAAGGTGTGGTCTAAAGGTTTCATCTGCCAGTCAGCACAAAGCTATACCAACCAACACGAAAGGTTACTGACAAGGGATAGATAGAAAGAACAATAAAATAAATTAGAAAGGCCAGCACAGACCCACTGGTATCCAGAAGTTAATATGTGAGACTGAGCATCGCAAATCTATAGGGAAAGAGAAGGACCGCTATTCAGTGGATGCTGTTGATTCTGGAGGAAAAAAAAAAAAGTAAATTCCAGTGGATTCTGTGAGAGCTACGTTTTATAGTTTCTAAAAGAAAACAATACCATTATGGTTTCTGTGAGTAGCTGGACTTCTCAAGGTACAAAAAGTGGAAACAAAGGGAAATTGGTTGTTTGATTAAATTTAAGATTTTAAGCTTACATTTTGCCCATGACTATAGAAAATTCAAGGAAAATCCACATCAGAGAGAAAATATCTGCAAAATATACAACAGGCAAAAGCTTAATACTCGGAGTATTTGGAGAATTCCTATATATCAATAAGAAAAAACATCCAGTATGAGAATTGGCAAAAGCATTTCCCATAAGAGAAAACACAGATGGCAAAGAAACATGAAAAATGTTCAGCCTCCCAGTAATGATATGAATGCACATTAAAACAATGAGATACCACTTTCCGCCTGCCACATTAGAAAAAAATAATTCAAGAATTAAATAAATTGGCCTCACTGGTAATCAGGAAAATTAAAATTAAAGCAACAATGAGATAGCATTTTACATCCCCCGCATATCGTCAAAATGTTTAAGTCTAACAATACAGAAGTCGGGCTTCCGTAATGGTGCACTAGCTTGACGGGACTGAGTCCCACAGGTAACGGTGATAAAATCTGGCCAAAATATAAAATGCAATCATTTGAAGGCACTGACCAGCAACCAAATGTGGACAGAAACCAGAAGCTGAGCCTTGAAAAGTGGGGACCGCACACGGCGAGATTCATAGGCTTATGGCTCTTTGCCAGAGGACACCCCTCGATCCATGTTTCATCCGCATAAATCAGGACGCCGCAGTTTTACTGGCTTGAGATGTTATAGGACGGAGTTCAGGCTGAGAAAAGTGGCTGGGAAGTTTAGAAGGAAAATCCTGAACAGGGGGTGGGGGAGTCACAGGAGGTCAGCCCTCAAATCTGTGTATTAAATCCGTTTGAATCCTTGACGGATCACCAGACTACGCATATGTGGGAGAGACTGGGTGGTCTGAAACAGCAGCTGCTGGAAGCTTCAAGAACTAACTGAAGATTTAAGCTGTGCCCAGCAAAGAGAAGACAAAATCTGGGGGTTGATCCTTTCCAGTGTAGCTGCCTGCTAAAACAAAATCCTCTTCAGAGGAACATAACCAAATCCAGAGTCTGTACAAACTACCAACCGGGTGTCTAGAGTATAACAAAAAACAAATTACTAGACATGCAAAGAAACAGAGAAATAAAATGTAAGCCACAGTCAGGAGACAAAAGAAGTCAATAGAAACTGACCCCAAGACGATCCAGGTGTTGAAATTAGCAGACTAAGGACTTTAAAGGAACTATTAGAGATATATTCAAGAACTAAAGGAAAATATGGTTACAAGGAATGAACAGATGTGGAATCTGAGCAGAGAAATGGAAACCATTTTTTAAAAGAATGAAACAGAGACTCTAGGATTGAAAAATTCATAGCACATCGGAGAAAGTGGAAGAGTCAGTCAAGCTGAAGATAGAAGTTATCCGGTATGAAGAACATGAGAGAAATGAGCAGGATCGTGGTGACGGGTGGGACGGTGGAAGGCGGATTGGGTGGTTGGAACCTCGGAAGCAGAGCAGAGAACACGCTTCCGTGTGGGTAAAGGGGTAACAAATCCCACGGGCCCCAAGGGCTCTCCTCCCGCATCTCCCTAGGACATGCCGTATGATGAAAATCAGACGTAGAATAGTTCCAGGAATCAGTGAAGGACGGGACGGGCCCAAAGTATCTTACTTTGCCACCAGGACTAGACAGGGTGACCTGGCTGGTTGGTTGGTAGGTTGGCTGGTTGATCTCAGGGTGCGAGGTTTTTCTTAACAAGACTCTGGGGTGTGGTGTGACGCTTGCCTAAAACGGCAGCAGGGCAGGGCGGTGGCAATTTTGTTACCATGCAGAAGTGAAGGTGTTCCGCCCTCTCCTGTTGCATGTGAAGGACTGTCATCGCCGTGGCGATTGTTAGGTTAGGAGGGAGCGCTCTTGGACAATTGTGAAGGACCCCGTGCCAGGGGCTCTAGAGTGAGATTCTGAGACCCGGGATAGGAGCCCGTGGGGCCTGGGAGCCTCCCCCCCATCAGGACTTTCCTAAGCTGTACGCAACGGTGGGTGCCCACGACCCTGCGCTCCGGCCGGCACCGGGTGCTCTGGGATGCTCTCAACGGGGGGCACCTGTTGGGACTGGGTGGCTGGGCTGTCTTTACCGATCGCAAAGCCCCCTCCTCAGGAGCTCCGGCAATTGCTCAGACATAAAGTGGGGCAAAGTGTGGATGCTGCTGCAGACGGGAAACCTCACTAAGTAAAACGCCCCCAGGCCCTGTTCTCGGCACTAGACGAATCTTAGTCCATGTCATCTTCACAGCCCTGTGAGTGTAGACCGTTTTTAACCCCATTATAAAGCAGAAAAGGAAACCGAGGCACAGCGAGATCCGGTAAATGGCCCAAGTCCCCTGCTGTGTGCGCGGCACTGGCTGTGTCTTCCCCTCTTCGCTGGACCTGCCCCCGGGCTCGGTTTCAGAGGGAAACCCGGCCCAACGCGCCCAAGAAGGCCAGCAGCGAGAGGCTGAAGCCACAGCCGTCCCCTGTCACGTCACGGGGTCAGAACCTCAGCGCTGACCTGGGGGCGCTGATCCCACGAGAGGGAACGCAGTCCCAAAACCCATCATTAAAGAGTAAAGAGGTTTTGTAACTAAATTCCCCTGGTGGCCGGGCGGAGCGACTGGACCCTGGGCAGAGAACACTGCCCGGCAGCTCGGAGCAGCTGCCGCCCGGCTGTCCGGCCCGGTTCTGCCCTGTCGCCAACGGTCCATCCTCCTGATGCCACGGCCGGGCTGCTGGGACGCCTTGGGGAGATGCCATGGGTGCTCCGGAGGGTCCGGAGGGTCCGGAGCGCCAGCGACCCCGGGGGATGGGCCGCAGGCAGGCCCGGCCTGTTTCCCTCCCTAGGTGAGCGTCTGGCTGCGCTGCTGGTCACGCGCGCGGCCGCGGCCTTGTTCCTGGACGGCGGGGCCGCGGACCTGCTGCGGGACCTCCACGAGGCCTTCCGCCGGAGCCCCTCGGGCGCCCGGACGCAGCTGCGGGCCGTGCTCTCCGCCGGGGACCGAGAGCGCGTGCGGGCGCGGGCGCGGGAGGCGGCGGACACCGGCTTCGCCCGCTTCCGGGAGGCCGTGCGGAGCCGCGCCGCGCTGCGCGAGAACTCGGGGCGCGAGCTGCTGGCCCCGGTGGCCCGCGCGCTCCGCGTCCTGCTGCGCATCGCGCCGCCCGGGGCGCGCCCGGCCCTGGGCGCCCGCTTGGCCGAGTGCCTCCTGCTGGCGGGGGACGCGGCGGGCTCCCGGGCGCTGTGCGAGCGCCTGCTGCGGCCTGCGCGCCCCGGCGACCGCGAGGACCCCGGCGACCGCGAGGACCCCCGCCCCGGGCACCGCGAGGACCCCGGCGACCGCGAGGACCCCCGCGCCGGCGACCGCGCGCCCCTGTTGGCGCTGCGCGGCTTCTGCGCGCTGCACGCCGGCGACGCGCGGCGCGCCCGGGAGGACTTCCAGGAGGTGGTGGAGCACGGCACGCCGCACCTGCGCAGCTGCGTGCGCGCGCTGTGCGGCCGAGGGCTGCTGCGGGTGCTGACGGGAAGCGGGTTCCTGGGCACCCTGGACTACGTCACAGCCACCCGGCTGCAGCCCGAGGAGGCCCTGCTCGTCGCCAAGGCCTTCGTGCCCCGGAACCGGCGGGGCCTGCTGCTGACCGTGCTGCGGGAGGAGGGCCGCAAGATGCTGCAGCGGGGGCCGCACCCGGGCCTCGCGGGCGCACCGGGCTGCCGGAGTCGGGCCGCCGGGCCGGACGGCCCCGCCGCGCAGGAAGGGTAAAAACTAGCCCGGCGCCCCTGCCCCTCCCCGCCCCGGGGCTGCTGCTTCGTTCTGGTCCCCTGCGAGGTAGCTGGGTTTGTGTGTCTTTCCATTTTACGGATGAGTAGACTGAGGCAGGAAACGGCGGGGGCGGGGTGCCCCTAAATCATGGAGCGCTGGAGCCCAGGCCTTAGGACCCTCAGTCCCCAACAATGTCATGCTTTGTGGGCCGAACGGTCCTAGAAATTTACGAACTCAAAACTGGGAGCGGGAAAGGACCGCTTGCCCACCACCCCACCGATGGCATCCCTTCTAGTTCCTTCTCTCTGCGCATAGGAGACAGTTCACTAAACCCAGCGTGTGCTCTGTGTGCGCTTTATAGCCCCCGCTTCTGACTCAGCGGATCCTGAACGTTTCCTTGGCCTCCAGACTCCTCCCGCGGCTGCGGCACAGCCTCCCCGGGAGCCCCCCGCCCCCGTCCCTTCCCAGAGCTTTTGCCCTTTGTCATATCCACCATGTTCCGCCCTCAGAACGGGCGCAGCGGCCGGGTTTCTGGGTCAGGGAGCCCCACCGCCCGTGAGGTCTCTGACCTCAGGAGCCAACCGCCCGCCCACGTGGCCACGGCCCGCGCCCTGGCGTTGGCTCGGCAGATGCTTTGCCCGTCTGTTCAGCCAGCGGTGAGCCTGCCGCTGTTGTGCAGTGCGCTTCTCTGCCTGCCGAGAGGGGCAGCAAGGCGCTTCGGCGAAGCTGAAAGCACTGAGCTGGGAGCCTCGTGGGGGCGTGTTTGATGTCAGCTCTGCTGCCACCACCCACCCTGCACGCGCACACACACACACACTCTTGCTCCGCCTCCCGCTTGCTCAGTTCAAATTGCTTTGATGTGCTGCTGAGGGGGAGCTTTCACCTACGAGACTGGGGGGTTCTGCACCTTCTGTCCCGGGAGTGGACGCATTCGAGGCTCCCGCCGCTCCTCCCGGTGGGAGCGCATGCACTTTCCCAGGACACCAGGAACATCCCGGGTGCAGCCTGTGTGTTACCGGACTCTGCCTGCAGCACACCCCTGAGCCCCGCAAGGCCGACTGCCGCCCCGTTCCTGCAGGAGGGGAAGCTGAGGCAGGGTCGGCTGTGGTCAGCCCACGGCGGGTGGCAGGGTGGGGCGGGCAGCGAGCGCCCAGGTGCACGTCAGAGAGGGCGGCCGAGGCTTCCGGACACCGCGTGTGTGACGCGCCGTCCGGCACGAACCAGGTCCCGTAGTCAGGTGGGGAGGGAGCTGCGTGGCCCAGGGGCCCAGGGGTAGACTTGCCTGGGGCCCCCCTCACTGGGCAGGTGAAGGGGGCGCGGGATGGGCTGGGCCAGCTCTCCCCCCGCTACCCTCTCCGCAGGGATGCCCACGGCGTGCACCAGCTGGCCATGCTCCTGATGGAGCTGGACAGGGAAGACGAGGCGTCGGGCCTCCTGGGGGCTGACGCCCTGTACCGCCTGGGCCGCCTGGACGACGCCCACACGGCTCTGCTGGTGGCCCTCTCCCGGAGGCCCTGGGCGGCCCCCGTGCTGGCGAGACTGGCCCTGCTGCAGCTGAGGAGAGGGCTCTTCCATGACGCGCACCAGGTGAGGAGGCCCCGCTGGACCACAGCCCCGCGGGCGGCACCAGGCCTCTGGGCGCTTACTCTGGAAGCCGGCAGAACTTGTCCCAGCCCCGCGTTCTGCCGCCTCGGGCAAGGCCCCTCGCCTCTGTGACCCTCAGTCTCTTCATCTGTGCCCTGGTCTTATGGGTTTCGCTGAAACAGCTGAAGCAGGTGCTCCAGGGTCCAGGAGGTCTCCAGCACGCAGTAGGTGCCTCATAGTTGCTCTTGTTGTGTTATGAAGGAAAAGGGCCAGGAGTTGGGTCTAGACGGAGCTTCGTCCCAAACCTTCCAAGTGAACCAGGCTTGGAGGTGACCGCGCTCAGGGGAGGGGACGGCGGCACCTCCCCCTCAGGTGTGCTCACCTCGCCTCTCTCCTAGACTGCCTGCTCCCAGGAAGAGCAGGACTTCGCCTCCCTCGGGTGTTATGAGGGCTTGGAACTGAGGTCAGAAGGTTATGTCCCAGGAAGATGTCGGGCATTGGGGTTCTGGCCACATTTGGGTTCCTGGCCTCCCCGCCCTGGGCCACCGGGTGGGAGGGAGGGTGCGGGGACCTTCGCTCTGGGGCCTGTGCTTTCAGCGAGCGGCCAGCAGGGGCAGCAGCGGGCCTCTGGGGCACCGAGCGGCTGGAGAGCCGAGGCTGCACGCCCCCCGGGGTCTCGCTCCGGCCAGAGCAGGGGCTGGTCTCAGGGCTTTTGCTCCCCGCCTTCTGAAGGACTCCGGTGCCCTCTGGCACCTTAGGATCCGAAAGCCCCCCCCTTCCCCCACGCTTCTCCTTTGGGCCTGCAGCGTTGCGGGGCCCCGTGGCACGGAGGAGGAGGTGCGGCTCGGGGTCACTGGGACCCCTCCCCACCCCACGCCGCACAGCGCAGAGAGCAGCCCAGCGCGGGTCCCACCTCCCCTCGCTCAGGCTCAGGCCAGGAGGCCTAGCGCGCAGCCCCTGCCCTTGAGCTGAGCCCCGCCCCGCAGCCCCGCCCGCCCCCGTAAGCTCCGGTTCATGGGCCACGTCCCTGCCCCCGTGAGGGGAGTCAGGGTGGAAGGGTCCAGGCTTCCGGCGCCGGAAGGGACCCGATGACTGCTCTGCCCTGCAGCTGGTGAAGAAGGTGGTGCAGTCGGGGGACACGGCCTGCCTCCAACCCACCCTGGACGTCTTCAGCCCCGAGGACCGGCAGCTGCTGCGGGACCATTGCCACGCTCAGGCCCTGGCCATCCTGCGGGCTCGGCCCAGCGGGGCGCAGGGCGACGCCCACACCAGGGAGGCCATCGCCTACCTCTCTCTGGCCATCTTCGCTGCGGGTAGGAGCTGCCTGCCCGCCCCCGGGGTTCCCATCCCGTGCCGGGTCCGCAGGGGCAAGACGAGGCGCGGGGTCGGGGACCTGGGGGACCCAAGCATGCAGGCCTCGCCCCCAGGCCCTAGCTGTCCAGGTGAGCATGCTAAAGCTTGGGAGACCGGCCAGTCCAGCTGGGACCTCAGCTGGGAGCCCCCCACACACACACACCCGGGGCCCTGCGGGTAGGAAGGCCAGACTTCTCCCAGCTTGGCCCCCTCCCTCCAACTGGGAAAAGTCCTGGTTCCGCGAAGCCCTTCCCGGAAATAGCCGGGGTGTGTCTGTAGGAGTGCACCTGGTGTCCCCATTTGCCCAGATCAACGCCATCCTGGGTGACAGCCTCTTGACGTTGGGCCTTCTCAATGTGGTGACATAGGGCACCCATGCTGGAGGGGAGGGACTTCCCCAAGGATGCGCCTCGAATCCCTGGGGTGCACAGGGATTCAAAGTGTGCACTTCGGATCCGAACAGCAGGTGGATTCGTGGCTCAGCACTTACTAAGCATCTCCCCGTTTTCCTCTTTCCAAAGTGGGTGCTCCCGGTGCCGGCGAGGGGGAGGCGTGGGGAGTGAGGGGTGGACAGCGCCGGGCTGCTGCCTGGTGCGGAGCTCACGCCCAGCACGCGCCAGTGGGGACGGGGGCATGATCCAGAGCGTCCTGCAGGGCCCAGGGTGCGGGTCTCTGTGCCCATCACTCGACAGACCACCGGAGGGAGCGTGGTGGCAATCTCCTTGGGGAGGGGCCTCTGTGCCCAGGATTCGGAGGGCTCTTCCCTGCCCGCCTGGCACCGTCATACTTCAGCTGTTCCGTGTCCAGCCCCGAGGACCCGTCCGCCTCCTGGACCCTGAGCTGTCCTCTCCTCAGATGCAGCCGCAGTGCCCCCTCCTCTCGGGTCCCCTGTCTGACCTCCCACCGCCCTAGATGCCACCCTTATGGCTGGGCTCCCTGTGCCCCACAGCCAGTGCCCCGAGGCCAACCCAGACTACACTCAAGGTTGTGTCTTGGTGCCCAATGGTCCGTGAGCTCCCCAAGGTGGCCCCAGAGCTGCTGCACCCCCTGCCCCGCCCCACTGTTGGGCACCAGCAAATGCTGGATGGGGGCAGATGCACTATACCCACCCAGGCCCAACAGCAGTCACGTCCTGATGCCACACCCCCTCCCTCCAGGGAGTCAAGAGGTTGAGTCCCTGCTCACCCGGGCCCGCTGTTACGGGCTCCTGGGCCAGAAGAAGACCGCCATGTTTGATTTCAACTCAGTGCTGCGGGCTGAGCCGAAGAACGTGCAGGCGCTGTGCGGTCGGGCACTTCTGCAGCTGGCCCTGGGCCGGCAGAAGGTACCGGGCCCGCCCTGCCCGCCCGGGACGGGGCAAGCGGGGTTAGGGGAACAGTGCTCTGGGGAAGAGGACCCAGGACACTGCTTTCCTTCTCGGCCCCCAGGGGAGAGGGAGCAGGGTCAGGCGGTCCTGAGCATGAGACCCGTGGAAACCCCTCCTGCACGGGGATCTCACGGGACTCTGATCATCACGTCCCGTCCCAGGTTGAGGAGGTCTGTCCCTTTCATCTCAAGAGTCCCCGCGCCTCCCAGCCTCAGTGAGCACAGGCTGTGCAAGACCTCAGGGCTACTAGACACCCCCTCCCTCAGCTTTAAATAACAAGACCCCAGCTGCCTTCTTGGGGCCACCCCGAGCTGTCTGCACGGAGCCCAAGGCTTCAGGTGGTCAGCGTGCAGGGACCCAGGTGGGAGAGGACCCGCTGAAGCCCGGGGCAGGGGCTTTTCACAGAGAAAACCCACACGCAGGCAGCCACAGCCGAACAGGGCCCTTCTCAGCCAGGAGCAACGTCACAGCCGAGTGACTGAAGCTGGGTGGCCGCCCTGAGGCTCTGCAGCCCGAAGGTGGCCTGCCCGCCATGATGAGGGCGGAGTGCTCCGAAGCAAGGGGAGATGATCCCAGACACTGGGATGAGAGCTTCTGGAGACGGCGCTGGTGCCTGCCCGCCCCGGGGCCGGCCATCCCTCCCTCTCCAGAGCCCCAGCACCATGCTCTGCTCCGGGCGGCTCACTGGCTGGGCCGTCTGGCCATGGAAGGCCAGCAACCCGGCCGTGTACCCCTTCTGGTATCGCCAGCGCCCAGGCACCGGGAGGAACACTTGGCAAACCCCCTGGGACAACTTTTGCACCCCCACCCCCTGCAGGAGGCTGTGGACGACATTCTCACGGCTCTGAAGCTTGACCCGAGCACAGTGGTCCCTGAGATCCGCTCTCTGAAGCCGGAGGCCCAGGCCCTCATCACCCGGGGCCTCTCCTCCCGCTGCCGGGCCCTCCTGAGCCAGGAGCCGGACGCCAGGGCCCCCCTCAGCGACGAGGACGCCCGGGGCCTCATGGCGGCCGGGGAGGCGCTGATCGAAATCGATGGCGGGCAGCTGAGCTGGTACCTCCTGCTGGCGGACGTGCTCACGGCAGCGGGTACGCGGGGCCTGGGTTTGGGGGACGCGGGTGTCCGGCTCCTGTCACTCCTGGTGCTTTTCTGTAAAATGAAAGCATTCGGCGCCTCCTGAGGTCCTCTCCACCCCAAATCCCGGCCCTGTGACCTGGTCCCCGCGTGGGCGCTGGGGTAGAAGCGTCCTGAGCTCTGTCACCTCCATGGCCTCCTGCGGGGAGAACAAGGGAGGGGGTGCGTTTCCATAAAAGGACCCACGGCCGCGCCGGCCTCCTCGGCAGCTCGTGCAGCAGGTGTGCACGGAGCGTCCTGGGACACCAGGCCCTGCCCGAGGCGGGCTGGCCTCACGCCCGGTCCCCGGTCCCTTCCCTCCAGCATCGGGCCTCTCCCTGAGCCAACACGGAGCCAGAGAGGCCGTGGCCAGCCTCACACCCCTACTGATCCCTGCCCCAACCCCACCCTGACCGTCCCTCCCTGGCGCTGACAGGCAGCTGGGAGGAGGCAGGCGCCTGCCTGCAAAAGGCCCCGCTCGCCAGCCCCGCGTCGGCGGCAGTGAGAGCCCGGTGGGGGCTGCTCCGGCTCAAGCAGGGACACGCGGCGGCGGCTGCGCGGGACCTCCGGCGCCTGGCAGAGACCGACGCCCAGGAACTCGGCTTCCTGCTGCAGCTCCTGGAGGCGCCGGAGCGGCAGAGCCTCGGCCAGGTGCGCCCCGGGGCCGCCCAGCGCTCGGGCGGCTCCGCCCTCCCCACCTGCCTGACCTCAGTGGGGGGGTGGCGGGGACACAGCCAGTCTGGCCAACGACCCCGGCTTCTTTGCACGAAGCATATGAGCCACCACAAGTGACAGGGCCTGGGAGGGAGAGGGGACCCCTCCTCGGCCAAGCCAGCCAGGAGCACAGCAGGGAGCCCACTGCCACCCCCAGGTCCGGGAAAGAGAGGCCCCGCCCCTCCCCTGAGAGCGTGGCCGTGGCCGTGGCCGTGGCCATGGCCGGGTGTCGGCTGGGGTCCCCGCCTCAGGGCTGGCTGATTTCCCGCTCCACTGTCTTGGCCGGAACATTCCAGCCGGCGCTGGTGGCGGCTGCTGCCCCACTGAGCGGCTCCTGCCTCAGGGGAGACAGCCGCGTGCTCCTGTGAGGAGACCCTAAAACAGGGCCGTGGGTAACAAGGTGGCACTGGAGGCACAACCTTGATGGGGCAGACGGGCCAAGGCGAAGGCGAGGAGGTAGGAAAGGGTTCAGAAAGCTCACAAAAATCACAAAACGGGTGGCCAGTGCAGCTGGTGTGGACGGAGGAGGGGGTTGGGGCCAGTGGAGAGGCTTCAGGGCCAAGGGCTAGTGGGGGCCAGTCTGACGGAAGAGCGTGGGGTGGGGGCAGAGGGAAGGGGCTGCCCCATCCGCAGAGCAGGCCGGGGAGACGCAGGGCTGGGGACCCTGCACAGCCGACCCTCCCGCCGGAAGTGGCTGAATTGCTCGGCTGCGGAGGGCGGGGAGGGGCCACCCGGAGGGGGAGGCCAGAAGCACAAGCCGACCTTGAGGCTGAGGGACTCCCAGTCCACCCCCCCCGCGGCCTGCGGCAGGTACCCCGCGTCCTCACGCCTGCGAGTGCCCAGGAGTCTAGTAGGTTCTAGCCCTCGGGGTCCCTCAGCAGAACAGAAACCCTACTGGGGGCTTCAGCCAGGGGTTTAAGGGAGGACGTGGCTACACAGGCATTGGGGTGGAAAGCGCAGAATGCAGGCGGAGCAGCTGCCACTTGGGGGGGGGTTCCTGTCTTCAGGACCTGGAGCCCCCAGGGGATCTCTGGGGACAGGCCTGGCTGGGGTCTCAGCAGGGAGGAGGCTGGTCTTGTCCGGGTTCGTAGGAGGGAGCAGAGATCTCTGGGCTCTCAGGAGGGGGTCTGCGGGGGGAGGGTGTCTCTGAGTCAGGAGGAGGGAGCCGGGCGGGGGTCACCGGGAGTCTCCCAGCGGGAAGGGGGTGCTGGCGGGGGCTGGATGGGGGGTGCCAGACAGGACCTGGGTCTCCGAACGGGGTGAGGGGTTGCCGGGCTGAGGGGGTGTCTCCGAGCTGGAACACGGGGCGGGGGGGGGCGGGGCGGCCGGCAGGCTGTTTCCGGCCCGGGTGCGCAGACCACCCACCCCCGTGACTGTCAGCGCGGCGCCCGCCGCGGGACGACCCGGAAGTGAACCCGAGAGGTGGCGCCCCGCTTCCGGCGCGCCCCCGGCGGCACCGCACTTGCTCCGCAGCGCCCCCTCCTGGCCACCCGGACCCGCGCTTTGAGGTTCGCGGACCCCGCCCTAACCCTAACCCTAACCCTCCGAGCCCGGCCGAGCCGCCCCCTCCCAGGCCGACGGCGTCCGTGCGTCTCCCGGGGGCGGACACGGGCGCGTCTCGCCGTCGCCGCGTGGCAGGGGGAGAGGGATGGCGGGAAAGGCCGGCCTCGGGGTGCCGTGTGCTCCCGGGGGGAGCAGATGTGGGTTCTTAGGCGAGGGAGCCCCAAGCAGCCCGCGGATTCGTCTGAGGAGGCGCTGGGGAGAGCCTAGCGCCTGGGGGCGGGTTTTGAGAGTGGGCGTCCTCGGCACCCACATTGGCTCAGAAAGTGAGCGAGGGGCCGGGGGTGTCAGAGGTGAGGCCTGTGAACCACAACACCCAGCGGGGGGGCCCCAGGCCACCTGTCCGGGAGGGGGGGTGCTAGGTTGGAGAGTGCCCGCTGATCTCTGGCCCTGCCCTGCAGCATCCGCGGAGGCTGGGGGTGGGGGGCCCCACATCCGTCTTCGCTGCACCTCTACGAGCCCCGGGGGGCAGCACAGTGAACCTCAGCGCCTGGAGGTCACGGTGGCAGATGCTGGAGCAAGTGCGGTGCAGATTCTCCGCGTGGAGTCTGCTCTGCAGGGTCTGTTGCGGGTCTCGGGGGCTCACTGGCCGCCTTCCTGACCTCGGCAGAGGAGGGGGCTCCAGGACGGAGCTGGGCAGAGGCGGGGCTTGCGAGGGTCCTTGGCCAGGGCAGCCATGGGAAGGTGGGCAGTGTGGGACCCGGGGACGGCGGGGAGGGGGGATGAGGGAGGAGTTCCCCAGGGAGGACCAGTTGGGGGGGCGCGCTGAGCGGGGTTTGCAGGGTGGAGGGCTCGCAGGCCGCGTCTCTGGCCACAGGTCAGGAGCCCGGTCGGCTGTGCAGGGCTGGCGAGGGGCCTGCAGCTTCCTGGGCTGACCGCTCGGCGCCCCTCTGTCGCCTCGTGCAGGCTGCAGCCCGGGAAGCCCAGGCCCTCCTGAACGCAGGGCAGCCCCGGCAAGCGCTGGGCTACTGCTCGCTGGCCGTCCTCGCAGGCGGCAGCGACGCCCAGCACCTGCGCCTGAGGGCCGCCTGTCTGGCTGAGCTGCAGCAGTTCGAGCGGGCACTTGAGGACCTGGACCTGGTGCTCCGGGAGGACGTGGCCGACGGTGACGTCCCGATGCGGGCAGAGGATCTGTGCTCCCGAGGCCGCCTGCTGCTGAGCCTGGGGGATGAGGCCAGGGCCACAGGCGCCTTCAGCCGGGCCCTCAAGCTGGCGCCCACCCTGGCCCGGAGCAGCCTGTGGGAGCGGCCGGGCCGGGCCCCCACCGCCCAAGTATTCCTGCGTCGCGGCCAGTCCTGTCTGGAGGAGCAGCGCCACGCGGAGGCCTGGACGGCGGCGGAGAATGGCCTCCTGGTCGACCCGGAGCACAGCGGCCTGAAGAGGCTGAAGGCGAGGGTCCGGAGGGAGGCGTCCTTGGGCTGCCGGCTCCACTGAGCCAGTGCTCTCCAGGCCCCGGGCCCGGGCCACCCTGTCGTCCCCCCTCCCCGACGGGCTCCCACTCGTTGATGTGCGTCAGACTCAGCAGAGAAGTGACATTGCGGAGTCACCACGTTTCAGGTTACCGAGAAGATGTTCGCGATACGGATAGTGTTACCGCATCGCAAGATGACACAGCTGGAAGTGAATTTTTTAAAGTTCCCTGCATGTGAAACAGCTCTTGGGTCACAGAGATCAAATCTGAAATTAAAAAAATATTGAAAAACTAATCCTGACAAAACGTGTGCAGAGAAGCAGCTGCCAGATGTAGTCTGAGCAGTGCCCAGAGGGAAGGGCAGAGCCCCCAGTGGTACCTGGGGGGAGGGCAGACCCCCCAGTGGTGCCCGGGGGGAGGGCAGGCCCCAAGGAGATTACTAAGCAGTGAAAAGAAAATGAAGTACATTTTCTTGAAGTCCATAGGCAATAAACAAGGGAAGTCAGGAGATAGGAATTAAGGATAAAAGCAGAAATTAAAAAATTAAGAACAGAAGGCTAGAAAAATAAATAAATCTACAGTTCCTGAAAAGTAAAGTCGATGAGCCAACAGCTAACTTCATGGAGAAAGCAGCCGGTCACACAGCTGGGTTGCACTGCTGCGGTCCATCCCAAATGTCTTTAGACTACTTCACGCCAAGAAAAAGAAAAAAGCTTTCAAGTTCATTGTTGAAGAAAGCATAACCTCAACCCAAAGAAAGCTACAAACCAATTGAATTAAGAGTTTGAAAGTCCTAAATACCATGCTCTCCTTGGCGACACACGTGCAAAAATTGGAACAAGACGGAGTTGAGCGTGGCCGCCGCTCAGGGTTGTCTTGCAAAAACCCTAAATCTCAACAAGCCCAAGTCCAGAGGCAGGTTCACGGATCAGCACACCATGAGTGACGTGTACAGCCGTGTGAGGACGGTTCACGATGGGGGACGATGCGGTCACCGTAGGACTAGAGCTACGAAGAGACCAGCGCAGTGGCCCTTCTTGGGGGCTGCAGGGGCAGGGAGTACAGTCACACTTGACAGACCCTTCCTACACTTTTGGATTCCTTCTGTGACGCGAGGAAAGTGCTGGCATCTCTTCATTCACTAGGGACCACGGGTGCAGATCGCACCCAACCACAGGAACCGGCAGAACCGCGGTGAGCTGGCCACCATCTCCACCGTCTACACCTGCAGACTTGTTCCCGCACAGAATTCCCAGGGTCCCCCGTGCGAATTCGTGCAATCTTGCAATTATTGGGGCGCCTGTGCTATTTCCTCCAGGATTAGACTGTACCCGCCCCCTCCCCCATGCATGGGTCTGGTGTCCATGGGCGAAGGAGGGGGGTGGAGGTTGAAGAGAATGCGTGCCCTCCCTTCTAGACACCTGACCCCATGAGGCTCTCGGGGTTAATGATGAAGCCTCCAACGGGAGGATGGGCTGCATCCCCTGGAATGGGCCTCAGGGGGCTTCAGGGGGCTTGGGGTCCAAGGGTCTCGCCTTCATCAAGCCCCTTCCCACTTCCAGGGTTCCATTCCTTCCCGCGGGAAAGCTGACGTGGCTGTAAATGCGACCAGCGTTGTAATTACACAGCTCACACAAATTCACGTCGCGTTTGACTTTGAGCACACCGGCCTGTGCGGGTAACTGGGCCCTCCCGGGCTAGGACCTGCGCTGGTCATTTCCTTCCCACGTGTCTTCCAGGACACTCGGGAGAGCCCACCCCGTGCCACAGTCCCTGTGGCCACCGTCACTACAGCAACAGCCACGTGCCACAGCACCCGGGCTCCCACGGCCCCTGGGGACGCGTCACAGCTGCCACAGTGTCAGCCCATCGGTCGTGAAGCCCCGGCACACCACGAGTCTCCCTTCCCGGGGAGCCCGGCCGTGCGGGCAAGCCCAAGGGCACGACCAGGCCAGGCCCCAGACGCGTCCTGTGGGTCCGGTGGCAGGGCCACTTTTGGCACCAGCCGGGGTCCACGCTGGAGACAAAGCACACCGGTGACTCGAATGGCGAGGGCTTAATATGAGGAACCGCTGATCAGCTGGGAAGGGGTCGGCCACGTAGCGGGGGTAGAACTCCGGGGATGGTGAAAGCAGCAACCAGAGTTCAAAGACGGTTGAGTGGCCTCCCGGAATAAGCTGCCGTCCATGCCCCACAACCCGCCCCTGGGTGCCGAGCTCCCGGCGCGTGCCCACCACGCCTCTGCGCCTGGCACGGGACACCCATTCTCTCACCCGATCTGTGACAGTCTTCTAGGTGAGGGGACGGCCTGGCCTGCTGGCTCAGGGACAGAGACCAGGGACAGCCCCTCCCCTCCTGTGCAGGGTACCCAGGGCCTGGCGTCAGGAGGCAGCTGTCAGGGATGCTGTTGGGGGGACCCCCACAGGCCGGGCTCTCACCCCAGCTTTGTGAGCACTTCAGAAATGTCCTCAACTTCCGCCAGCCCAGTTGTCTTCCCTGTGCAGGGCGCCCCGCACCTGTCCGCAGCACGGGTGGGCAGCCCCGCGGGGAGACCCCATCCCTGCCCCACGGAGGCCCAGAGCCACCTGCCGGGGGGGCTGGCCGTCGTGCACAGGACAGGAGCTGCCCCAGACGATCCTGCCCGAGAGCAGGGGTGGGGACAGTCAAGGGCAGGTGTCCGCCGGGCCTGAGGGGCAGCCCCCACCCCGTAGCAGCAGGGATCAAGGCTAACCCCTAGACCTGCCTTGGCCCAGGGCTGCTGAGGGAGGTGGTGCCCACCCCTCCCCCCATGGGGGCTGGTCTCCAACCCCCCGCAGCTCACATCTTTTGCCCAAAATCCAGGCAGGGGTGAGCAGGGAGCCCCCTGCCCCTGGCTCCTGAGCTCACCTAGGGAAACGGCTTCAAATCAGACTGTCCTGGGCAGCGATGGGGTGGGGGCTGGGACCGCCTGTACCCAGGGACCCGGCCGGGCTGGAGGCCCGTAGCTCCTTGGCCTGTGGAACCTCTTCCTGGGCCCCTCTTGACTGCCACCCTTCCCCTCTGCATCCAGGCGGCCTTGGCGGTGGTAAGAGGAGGTGCTCTGGCCGGGCTGTGTCACTGTGGGGTCCCCAGGGCCATCATGCTCTGGGAAAGAGCTTCTAGCCAGCCGGCCCGCCTCAAGCTCCCCCGGAAGGGCAGTCCCCTGGGGGCCCTCTCCCCTGACCTTGACCTCATGTTTTTTCTGGCCAGCAGCCCAGGTGGCCTCCAGTCAGGCTGCCAGCCCCTCACTCTGGGTGGGTTTCCGGCTCTCAGATGGGGGGTGGGTGCTGGGAGAGGAACGCTGAGTAGAGCCCAGCCTGGGCTCTGGGGGTGTCGGGTATCAGCCCGCCCCCCCCCCCCCCCGCCAGCACTGCCCTCCTCCCAGGGTGGGGCCAACCAGAGAGCTACCCCAACTCGGTGTGACATCGCCCAGCAGGGCCCAGGGTGGGACACCCTTCCACGGTCCTAGGGGCCTGGGGGACCACTTGTTCTGGAGGGTTCCGAAACAGAAGCAGAACCGAGTTGGCCTGGGTTGGAGGTGGACCCGCTCTGCCCAGAGCCCTCGGCCCGTCAGCGGGGTGACTGGTTCGCGCTCTGAAGCACTGGGGCGCCTCTGTCAGTCCAGAAGCCTCTCTCCTGTTCCCCTAGCCAGGAGCGACTGCCTCTCAAGAGTCCCCAGGGACAGAGGGGGGCCACTGAGCCCCAAGCTAGCGGAAGGGGGTGTCTTGGGTAGGGACCCCCACGTCCCCTTATACCTGGCGAGGCCCCAGAACGCTATGGAGACTAAAGGGCAGAACCCACGGCAGGGCCCTGGCAAACCTCACGGCCAGTGTGGGTCTCTGGCCCCCACCTCTCAGGCAGGGCGGGGAGAGGGCGCCGCCTTCCTTCCCCGCAGCCCCTGCAGCCCCCTTTGGACGGTGGGGCCAAGGAGGGAGGAGGATGCAGGCCCAGAGGCCCGGAAGGGGACCCTTGTCCCTGGAGCCACCCTCTGCCCCTCCCCCAACACCAAACCAGATGGAACTCAGAGTGGGGGGGCGACCTCCTCCAGGGAACCCTCGCATCACAAAGGAGGCCCCAGGAGCCTTGCTGGAGCCCCGCTGCTCTCTAGCCCTGGGAGCCCCCCACCCGGCCCCAGCTCACCGCCTCTGGCCTTCCCGACCCAGCCTTCTGAAACCTGCCTGTGGGGTGCGGCCCGCCGTTCCCGAGTGACCTGAAGGTGGGCCGAGAGCGGGGGCAGCTTTCCCGGGCAGTGCCCCCCCCTCCCCCGGGGCCGCACAGAACACTTTGTGTGCACACCGACACCGGTCCCCTCCCGTGAGGAGCCCCATTTCCGTGGCTGGCCACGATGGCCCCGAGAGGCCACGGACATGCACCAGGAAGGCCATGGGGACCCCCTTTTCTGATTCCCTAGCACTCGGCTTTGCCCTCAGGCCGCATATGACAGCTAGTGTGCACGCACCTTTCTGCCACACTGAGTCCCTGGAAGTGAGCAGGACAGAAGGAGAGCGTGAATTCACTAGTTCTGATCGAAGACAGAAGACACAGGAGGGACCAGAGCCACAGACCCGAGGCCAAGGCTCAGACCCATTCATTCATTCATTCATTCATTCATTCATTCATCATTCCGCAGATGTTGAATGCCTCTGGGGTGGTGGGCACCAGTGTGGGTGGGTGCTGGGGACCCAGGCAGCCGGAGCCCCCACCCCATGGGCTGACATCTCCCGTGTGGAGGTGGACAGTAGAAATAGAAGGAAGGGGCATCGAGCCTGAACCACACGTCTGGTGACGAAACAGAAATCAGGTCCAGGGGTCAGGCTGGCAAATACCGACCCAGGGAAGGCTTCACTGGGAAGATGACCTTGAGCAGGGACTTTTGGGGGGCAAGGGGGTAGAAGGGGATCTTGGGGGAAGGACAAAGCCTCTGAGGAGGGGTCTGCCGGAGGCGGAGGGTGGAGGACTGCATCTGGGTCACCGCCTCTGGGTGACCAGAGAGGTGACAGGGGCCATGGAGGGTCCTGAGATCAGAGCAGGCCTGGCTTCTCTCAAGGCAGGTCATGGGGCAGGTGAGGCCCAGAGACAGGCCCATCAAGGACTCCCCCACCCCCGTGAGCCAGAGACAGAACTCAGGCAGACCCCTGGGTTAGCAGGTAAGGATGCCTGAGCCCCAGCGTGTCTCAGCAGCTGACACTTACCCGCCCTTGGGCCAGACAGGGTCCTCTTCCTCAGGCTTCTGAATTCGCAGCCCTGCCTGGGACAGCGTGGGTACCAGAGCAGGGATCCGGCGGGCGCTGGCGTCTGAGGGCTGGGAGTCCCTGGTGTAGGGTGGGTACCAGAGCAGGGATCCGGCGGGCGCTGGCGTCTGAGGGCTGGGAGTCCCTGGTGTAGGGTGGGTACCAGAGCAGGGATCCGGCGGGCGCTGGCGTCTGAGGGCTGGGAGTCCCTGGTGTAGGGTGGGTACCAGAGCAGGGATCCGGCGGGCGCTGGCGTCTGAGGGCTGGGAGTCCCTGGTGTAGGGTGGGTACCAGAGCAGGGATCCGGAGGGCGCTGGCGTCTGAGGGCTGGGATCTGATGCACCAGCCAGCAGGCAGCCGTTCTCAGCCCCACAGGCAGTCTCAGGGGCAGGGCTGGGTGCCAGCAAAGAGGTGCGTGTGCACACGTGTGCACACCTGCTTGTAGAAGGGAGCACAGACAGAGCCCGTGGGGTCTGCTGTCCCCGCCGGCCCCCAGGCAGCGCGCCCTCCCCTGTCTGCAGCAGCCTGAGTGTCCTCCACCACTGCCCACCCCTGGAGTGGCGGGGGCAGGGGGGGTGGGGAGGGGACCCAGGAATGCCCACCACCCAGGTGACTGCTGGGGCTGACCTTCATGATCCCTGCCTGCATGGACACCCTTCTTTCCAGTCTCCCCACTGCCCACTCCTGGGATCTAGGCAGGAAAGGTGGGCAGGGAGCCCAGTGGCCCACGCCACCTCCCAGAGGGATTTCCTGACCCAGCACCCAGGCCCGTAGCTCCAGGACCCCCGCCCCAACCCTGCCACTAGGGCCCAAGGCGGGCTCCACTGCCGTAGCCCCTCGGCAAGCCTGGGGAGCTGGGCCAGCTGGGTCCCTAGTGCCAACCCCCAGCTGTGAGCAGAGTGGTCCCTGGACGAGCCCTGCTGGAGAGCGCGGGCTTGGAGAAGCTGACCTTGGCCACCGCCCCCCCCCCCCCACACACACACCCTGGGCACTCCCCTGGCCTGGGGAGACTGGGCAAGCCGGAGCCAGACACAGGCTGAGGGCCGGGGGTGGACTGGGCAATGGGGAGAGGAGCCCAGCACCCTGAAAGGACCGTCGCCAGCTCCCAGCCTCGGGCAGGGCCCCGGGGGCTCCTCGGGAGTCTCCCCGCCCTGACGGACACAGCCCCTGCCCTTGGCCTTGGGCTTTCTCAGCTGTGCACTTTCCCCCCCGTCCAGAGACTTGGCGATGGGGAAGCCCGAGAGCCCAGTAGGGACGGTGGAGACGGCCGGCTGGCCGGGACCCAAGCGCCGAGGCCTCCTGGAGGGGGGGCTGCTGCTGCTGCTGCTCGGCCTGGGTGGCGCCCTGGTGGCCCTGGGCCTCCTCTACGCCGCCAGCCGCAGAGGTGAGTGAAGGTGCCCCCGCCCACCCGCCCTGATGAGCCCGCCTTGTCAACGGGGCAGGCGGGGCTGGGGTCCTCACCTGGCACTAACCTGCAGGGCGCCCTGGGCCGCTTCCAGAAGGCTCTGCCCAGGGCCCGCAGCCCCGGCCAGCTCTGCGGGCTCTGCGCCGGCCCCTCCCCTCCGCAGCCCGCAGCGCACTGCAGGGGCCACGCTCCTTCCCGCCCCTCACCTGTGTCTCACGGTGGCCGCCCTCCTCCTTACCCCCCACCTTGCCCCGCTGAAGTGCATATGGAGGGGCCGTCCCCAGCTGGGGTGAGGGGCCTGGGGGGTGGGGCTCACGTGTCTGCACCTGGGCTGCACCCTGCTGCTCACAGGCGCCACCCCTGCCGGTGCTCTCCACACCCACCCCCAGGGCAGCAGGCACAGGACTCGGGAGAGGAGCTCGCATTAGGGGGTCTGGGCCTTTGTCACCCTGTTTCCTCACTGGCCTGGCCTGGGGGCCGGGCGCACCGCTGGGAACCAGCCCCCAAGGCTATCTCTGGGGACCAGAGTGGCAGCCTGTGGATGTGATGGGCGTCCCAGCCCAGGGCTGCTCCCTGACCGCGTCCAGGCGCCTGGCGGGCCCCCCTCCCGCCGCCTCCCCCCCCCCCCCGCCATCTGGGTCCCCTACCTCCCTCTGCCAGGGAGGGGGGCACTGCCAGCTCCAGGGAGCCCAGACCTCAAGAAGCCCAGTTCAGGCCCCCCGCCCCCCCCAACTGCGGGGCACAAGGGGACCCCTCCCCTCTCCCAGGTGGCTTGGAGCAGCATGAACCCACCCGACACAAGGGACCCTCCCTACCCCGCCTGCCTTTTCCTGTGGTCCCTGCTGGGGCCCCTCAGTCAGAACCCCGGCGCCCCCACCGCCCGCTGATCTTGGCCTCAGACCCTGATGAGTCTGAGGAAGGATTTGCACGCAGCCTTGCTGTACATTTCTCAGTGCTTTTGCATCTCCACTCTGATTTTTTTCTTGGATTCATGAGTTATTTCAAAATCTTTTTTCTTTTTAATTTCCAGATGCATGGAGATTTTACTAGTTACCTTTTCTTATTGGCTCCTAACATAACTGCGTCGTGGTCAGAAACCACGGTTTACGCAATGCTGATTTTTGGGTATTTGCCGAGGCTCGATTCGGGACTAACTCGTGGCCAGTTTCGGAAATAATCCATGTGTGTTCCTGAAATTGGAGATACAGATGTATCCACGTCAATCAAATCTTCTATATAATTGGGTTTTTTAAATTTTCTTGTGTTAAAGGGAACTGCAGTTTTCCTCGTAGTTATGCCAAGTATTAATTTGTCTGTTTTAAGGCTACATTATTCTGTGAATATGAGTCTAGAATTGGTGTATCTTCCACAAAGTTAGACCTTCTGTGTTAATTTCTTTTACCTAAAGTTCTGTTCTGTGTGATGTGAATACAACCACTCGTTGTTGGCTCAGCCTATTTTCTCCCAGTCTTTTTCTCTCGAAGTTTTTGTGTCTTTAGCCTCCTCTGTGTCTCTTGCGACGGTGTGAATCTGGACTGAGTTATTCGTCTCGTACCTGGAGGATTTAGTCTCACTGGCAGTCATTATGATTACTGTCTGCCTTCTGTTGGGTTGCTGGATTATTTTTCCCTCCTCTGTTTTCCCTCAGCTAGTTTGCAAGTTTTAGATCACTGTCCATTTAGGGGTTATCTTTGATTTTTTTGTCTTAAGAGCTATTTTAAAAGTTATTGACCAGCGCTTTTGAAAAGTCATGTGTTTTTCTAGAAATTATAACATGGGGGGTGCAGCCCCGTGTCTGCGGCCCTGCCCTCCTGGAATCCTTCGCCTATAAGCAGACACAGTCACCACCCAGCACAGGGGCCAGCAAACTATGGCCCATGTTTTGTTTAGTGAATAAAGTTTTATTGGAACACAGCGGTGCCCACTCATTTATGTATTGTCTATGGATGTTCTCATGCTACAAGAGCATGAGAATTGGTCAGGCAGAGTCCATATGTGGCCCACAAGCCTAAAATATATTTCCTGCCTGGCCCTTCATATGAAAATATCACCAACCGTTGGACTGAGGTGTCTTCCCACATCTAAACCTTGACTTTGAAGCTTTTTTTATTATCAGTGTTGGATTGTGAGGAGGCGTTATAAGGCTGTGGTTAATGCCCAGGCATGGCTAGGCATGCCGGCTCCCCCAGATCCCACCTGCGTGACCTTGGCAGGTTTCTTTCATGCTTCTGTCCCTCAGTTTC